ACACATTCAATTTACCAGACTATTGAACAACTAGGAAAAGTGAAAAAAAAACTTCTTATCACCAGCATAAATGCGTAATTATTTTTTTTTACAAAAAAAGTATTTTTTCACTTTTGATTGAGTAACGCACCGTAGAATGCAGATACGGGCATAGCAAACACACCTTTGAAATGCATGAAGTCTGGCGATTCCAAAAATATATACTTTCCTGGGTCTATTTGTAGTCGTTTGGTCACAATTAGAAGATGAAAACAAGTATGCAAATAATAGTCCCGCTACCTTAAACGAACTTAACGTTTTGAACAACACAGTTTTTGAATATTGCCCGTAACTCGAGTTTTGGTTAAGTGTAATTTGAACAGCGATGTATAATTCAGGCGTTGTCCGTAACTCGAAAAATTCTGCATATAAATTGAAAAGTTTATTATCATTTGTTAATAGTTCCGTATAATGTTCTAACGCGCTTAGTTCACATAGATTCACTCAGTCTTGAATTAGTTTGTGCTGCAGTATTTTGGAATTTGTTTTTGTTCACCTAAATCGCACTCTTTTAGAATATCAAATGAAACATTGTGAATGCTCTCAGAAAGCAACTTTCCTGCCTGTCCAAGTTGGTGTCCGAACAAATCAGTTGTCTTTGTCACAGCACGGATGTGTGCCTGCGACCTGCGTCGATTGCATAAAACTATATGTGCCGATTGCCGATCGTTCAAAACGAGTAATAGTTTACGGAAACATTGCAAGTAAATAAACTCATAAACATTCGCATTAATGTCGTATGGCAGTAATATTCATGAATACATTTCATAATACGATATAATTTATATATTATAACCTTGTCCTTTCAGTTGATTGTTATAGCAATAGACGGAAACTCTGACTATGAACACAACGACTTTGGGTATGTCACGGTTAAATTACGTTATAACGATCCAAACACAAACAGTCCGGTATTTTCAGAAGGTGAGCAATTCAACATATCAATACGTGGCATAGTACTGAAGTCGGTCGACCTATTTAGGAAGACTATCACTAATTGTTTCAACCCCCATATTTTTCTCAGTTCACAGTATTTACCCCCGGAGACATGCTGTAAATGCAGCTGCTATATGTATGGTCGAAGGTTGAAAATCTATGTTCATAATATAATAATAGCATATATCATGCAAACAAATAATACCGCGCATTTCACGGTGACCGTATATCATATTTTTTTCGGTGTAGTATAGTAACTGGGAAAAACGGCTATACGAGCAATTTTGCCGAGCAATGTCTAGTATTGCCAGAGAGAGCATACTTGAATATATAGCATCTGCCATATTGCAGTTATGAGGCGATGTACAAATAAACGAACCTTGGCCGGCGAAGATGCCACAACGATTGCTCCAATAAATTACTGACGCTCAAAACTGTAATGTTTGGCTTATGGTACAGATTATTTGGTGATTTGTTGTTGCAGGTATACATTACATAATATCATTATATATCCCACAGATGAATACTCCACAGTGGTACCCGAAGATCTACCACCTGGTTCAATTCTAGACTTAGACATCATAGCTATCGATATCGATGATGGTGACGATGGAAATGTGATGTATTCACTTGCATATGAAGGAAATGAGAGGGTAAATTGATCACTGTAATTAGTATGTGATTGATTTTGTGAAAACACGTCGTTTACTATAGTTCACATATATTGTAATGATAGTGTTATCCCCATTTATAAATACACTTATTCATGTAATCATTCTTTGTTTTTGTATACAGGGAATATTTGAGATCGATCCAGTTACTGCCAATATATCCACTCTTTATTCGCTGGACCCCTTCGAGATAACACCATTTTACAATTTGACTGTTATCGCTACTGATGGAGGAGAACGACCTAAGTCAAGGTGGGTGATGATACTAGAATATTTCATACAGTACACATAAGTAAAACTGTTCTAACATAAGTAAAAACTGTTCTATCACTTTACCGTCGCATTCCAAGCTAATAAATGGCAGTTGTTTGCAAACTTTGTATGTTTATGAAACATGATTTTAACAGATTTTAACATTAATGGCCGATAAATGATCAATTAGTTTTCCAAAATTGCAGATTCAGAGCCGTATATCAGACATGTCATACTGATTGTGCTGCACACACACAGTGTGAGTTTATGATTATAATTATTATTTTTTATTTGCAGTACTGTTCCTGTATATGTTACTGTCACAGACGTAATAGACTCAACTACACCAAGTTATTCGGAATGCCTGTCTGAAGATGACAAATGTAATACGAATTTTTACTTTAAAAATAATGCTATCTCATATGGCCGATTTAAACGGCAAACATTTCAAATCATAATTCATTGAAATATATGTTATTAGGTCATTTAATCAAACGGAATAATGAGGTTAACAAATTACAATATAATCTAATCTAATTATATGCATAGCGTGTAATGAGTTGTAAAATACATTCATATCAATATAATTCGGAACAAAATTATGGTTGTCATTTCATTTTTAGCTTGCCCGTAATGTTAATGAAAGAAAATGTATATAATGTCTGTCTTGTCATTGTCGGCATTTCTGTGTCTTGTGATACAATAACTCTTGCAATTTTCATCGTGTCCAAGTTCAATTGTGGTATGCAAAGTTTGTTTATTTTTCAAAATATTGGCGAAATTTCTCCTAAAATTGTCTCTTGTGGTTTTAATAATTCAAACAATTTTTATCTGATCATACTCAAATTTTGCCAATCACGATTGAAGAGAAAGGTATATAAGGAAAAATACCTGTCTCATCGTTGTCATGCTCTATCAAGAACTGGACTTAGGAAGTTTAACAAGATGCATGATTTATCTACTTGTATAAGTTTAATGTATGTAAACCAGTATTAGCTTTTGTACAGACAGCATTGATATAAATGCAGTCGAGGAATATGATTTTATTGTAATGTTTTTTAATATATTTTATTTATTCTGATTTAGCCTCACTTGAAAATATATCTTTATAATATTGCAAAGAGTGCATTAAATGAGAAATGAAAATATTTATATTCAGTGTACTAATTACTTTGTACATTTAAATCATCAATTTGTCTATCTGATGGTAGTTATTTTACTGTTCTTAAATTGTTCTTTTAGACAATTTCCTGCAAATGTCTATCTTTGTTTACAAGATGTCGATGTCCACAGTTACCGTGGGTAAAACATTTAAAATAGTATACAAAGTTAGGTGGCACTTCCTATTTGAAAATGTGTGTTACTTTTGTCTACTCAGACATATTTTGCAATGGCTTGTGTTTTTTATGAATGGTTTATTTCGAACTTCCAGTAGTATAATTGTGTTCATATTTGCATGTGGGTCTTTGTAGTGTATTTATCCTTTGTAATGGCCTATGTTTTTATAATTAGTTGTGAAGGTCTCATACAAAGTGGAATGAATTCAGTGAATTCTTCTCTCCAACAGAGTTTGCTCACATCTGACCTCTTTAACACAATTGCATGTTGTCTTTTATTGTAATTAAATGTACAAGTGTCTGCAGTCTCTCATGACTAGTTTGTGGCTGTCAGTGGAGCAGTATATTTCCTATGTATTTGCTCATATTTGAGGTATTCCATATTTACATGCTAGTACGGTAGATATAAAGTATTTTTATGGATGTTGTATTATTAACAGTATCGCTAATACTCTTATTTTCTGTAGTACATAACTTTAAAATTTGATATGATATAGTAAATGCGGCAACTGTTTTTCCTCCTGTACGACGTGTAGCTATATGAAAACAGTGCTCTGAGTTGTTCAAAAAAGTAACTGTGTGACAGCTAGTCATTGTTGATTTTACTCAGTTCCTCTTTAAATGAAAAAAAGATGCCAGTTATAGCGAAACCACAAGACTGCCTCTAGACTCAAATAAACTATCTTGCCCTTCTTTTAATCAATATCGTGTTATACATAATAGTATTTTCAACCTATTGCACACAATATAGAATATACGCTTGGAAAGTTAACAATAAAAGAGATGTAATTAAAGGCATAATTGATGCTGAATTACACAATGTTGCCTCTTCAAATAAGCCTTCAAATTGATTCCTTTCTATCAACAAAACGGGCAAACTATAACTAAGTTTGTGTTTTACATATTTACTTATGTAAATATAGAAATTATTATATATAAAATTATATAGAAATTATTCAGATTCCTATTGGCAAAGACATAAACACACTGCAACACAATGGATACAGTCAAATACATTGATAGACATCACGACATCACGCAATAATACGGGTTTGCAGATTGAATTTTTTCAAGTACAAGACACGTTGTAAATGTAACTTTGCATCATCGACAAGTGTTACTCGCTTGTGTGAATTTATATTGGAGAACCACGAAACTGTCGTCTCAAGTATGACGTAGATTGTACTACACATTGATAGTTACGATAGGTTCCACATCAATTATGTATATTTGCATATTTTTGATCTAGCAACTAAACTATAAACATTAATGTTTCAAAGTATAACTTGTAGAGAGTGATTTAACAATATATTTAAACATAATAATGTTTTCGCTACAATTATTACCAGATATATCACTTTTCTCAAACACTGAAACCACTCACACCTTTTTTGTTCTTTTTCAGGTAACTGTAAAATATTAGCAACAGTTATAATGCTGTTAATATGTATTGTTGCTGCGATTGCAGTCTATTATTTCTGTAGGTAAGTATTAATCATCTGATACCAGGGGTGTTTGTTTCAGAAGTTCACGTTATGGTATTCAGACATGAGTTTTGGTAAATGCTCAAACTGCTTCATTTTGGTAGTACTACGTAGTCGTCAATGCTATGATATACACATGTATTACATAATGTTTCTCATAAAAATGAACATTTTTTATATTACAGACTAAGATGTCAAGAAAAAGAGGGATATAAAGTAAATACTCTTCTATTGCTCCAAAACTACACACATAATAACTAGTTCTTCATCGGGATTTCGCTATCTCTCTTATACATTAGATAGGCATTGTGAAGCTCATTTTTTAAAACAGATAGTTACAGCTAAGGTTAGAGTAACGTCATATCGGAGCCAAACGATTTCTACACCATTGAACATTCCCGGGATGCACATGATTTGACTGTTGTAATGAATATTGTATGATTTGTTTTATTTCTAGTTGCGACACAGAAAAAGAAGTGCAACAGAGGGCAAAAGTGGTAAGCTAATGAAATATTTAACCAATTGCATCCGTTTTAATTCCTAATATTTTGTTTGTAATCATCTCTATCAATATTTTACGTCTGAATTTACAAAATTTACGCTCATCCTATACGTTCTGGTGACAAATACATTCAATTAGAATTGAGTATGTGTTTATTAGGAATCTGTGCCAATATGGCTTGTAACTCTTTTACTATCGTTCATATGTTTAGGTATCTCATTAAGTATTTTTTTCAAACATAATATTTACTAAATGAAATAGTATTACTATTCAAGTAACCAGTGCAAAACAGATACTTTAATTGCGATATATTTATCACGAGATATTTATTTTTCAGGCGACCCTTTTTATAAATTTGCGGTTGATTTAAGTAAAGAGATCACTGCACGTAAGTACTCAAAACATTTCTGAACAGTTTGATGTTTTTAGTTGATAAATTACGCACATATCTTTGCATATTATTTTACGAATATTTTTTCAGCTCTTGAATTGAATATTGTGTGTGTGTTGACACTCTCCTAGGTACTATATATTCTTGAAAACGTAAAAACAAATCCGACTTTTTGCATGCAAATTAATTGTGAACCATATTTTTTAACATAATTTTTTCTTGAAATTGTATTCTTTTTCACATAGTTCATATTTAATAAGTCAAGCAAATGTTATTTTGTAATCCAAATTTGACCGTTTTTGATTTTGCGAATGACAGAAAATCTCTCTGCTGTTATTATGTAATCTTTTATAGGTGAATTTGCAAAAATGAAGACTGCAAGTCTAACATTTTTTCCTAAAGAGAATACTGACATTTTGGAAGTACACAATTTTATTGTAAAATTGAGGGAAATGGGTTACATCAAACCGCAACGCGACGATTTTACTAAATTACAAGATATATTGTGTTCTGCTGGCAGAAATGATCTTGCAGATAATATACCATCTATGTGGATACAAAAACAAATTGAGTAAGTAATTTGTAAGCTCAAATACCATGGTAGATTTGACAATGATTTTCACTCGTTTTCTTCACTTTTTTTCTTTCATTCTGTTCACAGTGATTGGTAAAACCTCGCTATTACAGCCAATATGCTATTGGGATTCCAAGATATAATTATGCCATTTTTATTTTGTCCAATATTTCCCAATATTATTTTATTATTATTATTGCGTGTAAAAATGAATAATTTATCAAAAATAAAATCAAACCCTGTGTCCTCATTTACATTTGTCATTGTGTAAACGATATTATCAATAGATATTGATGAGGATATCACGTGATGATGTCATTATTATTATACAATCAAAATAGTTTAATTTATGAAGACATTGAATAATTCATATTTTTAAAGACATTGAATAATTCAAATGAACTAGAAGTACTATTTTCTGGGAGGAGCTTTTAAAAGGGTATTGGTAGCGTAGTCGTTTACCAACTTCAGAAAAAATATAAGTCAAATGTTGCGTCCTATATATTATAAGAAATGTGCAAAATTGTGTTAACGATTGTATTATGATGTTGAGAAAAAATAGTTTAATATATAATAATTATATACGCAATATTTACTTAATTCTGCTTCCATTTTATGTAATCGCAATAATGGTGCGTTTAAGTGGATCTATTGGTTAGGGCGCATTCAATTTTGACAACCCATTTCCCAGCTCATAGGAGAACAGTTGTTCGATTTGAAAATGTACTATAAATAGTGAAATATATAGTTTAAAACTACCTAACTATTATTTCATTGCGTTCAATAACGTTTTATTCAAGCTAGTTAATAACCTGAAATTTACGCGGGAAATTTTCGACATTAAAAGAAATTATCAGGTTTATTATGTGTCATTTTCTGCTTTTGCGAATTAGTAATTATGCATGAGATTGATATGTTAATTGCTGAACACAATTTTACTGATATATGTGATTAAAAAGTAACTTAAAACAGTATCAAGTTTTCTGTGTAAACACTAATGTGAAAAAGCGTCGGAGCGCTATTTTAGCCAGAATCGGTGGGCAAGGCGTCTTATTACACATGTCTGTGCGGTGACATCGCATTCTTTGACGACACATAGTGTCCGACCATAGTGTCATCGCGTACGCACATTTGATTCACACGACGTTGAATTATTATTTAAGATCAACAACTTGCATGCTTAAAGTATACACTATGAACATATATTACAGGAAATAGATTTTTTACTAATTATATTCAATAGTGGCAACCTTGCAATGCTTTAACCATGAGACACATCCATGTAAACACGTGATCGTGCCACCGGCTGCAGCAATTGACTAATAGCACGTTTACTCTGCCATGCCTTAAAGTTTGATTGTAGATTTGAAAGGATTTTGTAAGAGGGGATTCGGACAAGGTGACAGCAAGGCGTTACCTCAGCTTTTGGATGAATAAAGCATGACTATCTGTAATGAACTAATGTGTCAAACCTGATATCCCTATATGTGAGTGTTATCTGACAAGCGAGTTAAAGTTTCCTAATTTGACTGTAACCATTTTTTTATTCAGCAAGGTAATTTTATGTAGACCCAAGTTTAGGGCGTTAATCCGACGTGTAATGATTTTTGAGTTGGACTGGACTATTGGTCTAGTCATTGCAGCAATTTAGGCATAACACACACGAGTAACACATACTTACTCGACAACTCCATGATTAACCATATACAGCAAATCTGAAGAAAATTGATTACAGAATACCATATTTTCCTTCTAATGACATAAAAAACAATAACTAACAAACCTCTCCACATTCTTAGGTTAAGATAAGAGCAAACCTAAAGATCATACCTAATACGACGAATGCTTGAAAGGAAGCCTAGATTATTGAACACATGTTGTATGTACAAAACTAAAGCATCCTACTACTGTAAAACCAACATGTATGCTTCCACATTTTATGAGAAGGTGCTGACCAAACATAAACGTTCCTAGTAGGAAGAGTGAGATTCTTTATCGCAAATCCCGGTGAAAGTCAATCTTCATGTATCCGGGAACCTTAATAAGGACACATACGAAATAATACTTGACACTCGCCCTCCCACAAAATACCCACCAGAATCAGTAATAAACCCTAACGTCAATTTTCAACACTAGTACCAGTGTGTATGTATTTCAATACCTAAATATTGGCTTCATGTCAAACCTCACGTATCCGGGAACCTTATTTCCGACATGCGATCAATAAGGGCACCTACGAAATAATACTTGACACTCGCCATTCCCCAAAATACCAACTAGAATCAGTTAGAAACCCTAACGTCAATTGTCGACACTAGTACCAGTGTGTATGTATTTCAATACCTAAATATTGGCTTGTATCAAGATGTCACCACAGGAACAAGCGAAATTTGTTCTTAATTTTTGTTTGCCATAATATACACAGAAACCTGTTATCAGTGAAATGCTTGAGGCTGAGGGTACTGTAATTAACGATGTTGTGGATGTTGATGTCTATGTCTATGTATTTGATGGCGATTGACATAGAGGAAGCAACAAAGCGAAAATTAAAATGAAACTTATGGAAAATACTAAAAACTACAATCGAAAATATGTGTACGAAAATGTCTCTGAGAACCAGGCAGGTGGAACATATGTAGCGAATGCTGCAACAGATGCATACGAGTCTTACAATATTCAATATGCATTTGTAGAGTCCAACGTTACCGACTTCACAATTAATTCAAATACGGTATGTTGGATATGTTGTAGTGGAAATTTAATTTAATCATGACAAGGCACCGGGAAACCACAAAGTCCCGACCATGTTTGGGTCAACGAGTTCGTAACTTCGACCAACACTTTCCATTAAATCCATTAAATATTAAATAATTCATTTTTCATTTTTTCCTTCACTTCGTCAAAAACAATATATACAAATCCGCTCAAATGCGAATCAAAAACAGCTATCATTGCTCAAGTATCTACTATAAAACTTTGTAAAATTTCACCCTGTATTCGATAATGTGTGCTCTGTAAACTGCACACGACAAATCTCCATTACATGAATTACCTTTTCTAGCTGACAATATCTGACAAATTCGTTGGACGTTGTTCTCAGTATAGCAAATGTATCCCCGGATAATTGGAAGATAAATATTGGAATGCTTTTTCAAAATTAAAAAATTATCACAGATTTTGAACATTACACTTTTCCGAGAAAATGCTATTTTTTCTTTTTGAAAATGACTTTTTATTTCTTGAAATTCAGACTTCAGTAAAACTATACAACGTCTACCAATTCACCAGCATTAAACACAATCGACAGACAAAACAGTGCAGCGTACTATTTTCCTGGTCAAATAATCGCTATTTTTTACGTGCAATATTTTGGTTAAATGTCCATTTTCTTTTTCTTTTCTTTCTTTTGTGAAAAGTTCCCACTGAGAAATGCTTTTTGCCTTCGCACATTTCTAGAAAAGATTTTTCTGCGATGATATTTTTTGGGGGGAATCAGAGTTTTCTGGTTTGGTTTTCTTTCCCTGTATAATTCTACTTTCATCTTGAATGCACAAGAATCAAGTTAGATGTCGTTTCGAGTTCGATATTATAGGGAATAGTTACAACAGCAAAACCGCTCGACAGAGAAGACAGATATTCATATCGACATTCAATTATGTCTATGTTGAATATGGAGCTATATGTCTCGCTGATCCGGTGAGTAATTGTTACGGTTTTAAATGATGTGGGCTTCCCAAAAACGTCACTTCCTTAATGATGACATTACTAGACGGCGGATTGTTTGTCTGTCCCATTATCTCTCTGTCTTAGTCAAATCGTGTTTGAACAAGTTGGAGTGTTGTTGATCTTCGACTTCCGCTACGAATAAAGATTCGACACTCACTTTAACATAAATATGTATATTATAATTATCTAATCCGCCCCTGAATCTCTAGTATATATGTTTATGATATGTCTGTACAAAGATGTTAAGGAAGATGTTCATCGTCAGAGGGCGCAACTTCTCAAAATGGTGCGTTGACATGACTATCAAAATACAAAAGCAGGGTGTACTTATCTCAGTTATAAAACAATAAAAAAACTAATGTATAATCCATGACATCTCTCTGATCATTTCAGGCGAAGTAACGACACTTGTGGCACTTGATTACAAAGATACAGATGGCAGGGTTTACATACTTGATGATAAGAATGTTAATATTATAATACCGCACGTATACCCCTCTCCCACTAGTTTATACTGCAGTGTTTATTCAATTTTATATTTCAGTATTATAATTTTCGTATAACAAATTCCCCGTTACAAGAAATGCGATGTACAAGACGAAGGAATGAAGTTATTAGTAATTGTGGAGTTGTTTTCTATTTTCTATTTGAAAAGCAGATTGAAAGGACCACGTTTATTTGGCCTGGCAATTTCTGTAAAAATATATCAGCTGATTTAGACTAAAAAAGTTATAGAAAAGGAAAAGAAAACTTTATAATTAACAAGCATATATGATTGTATTCTCGAAAATGTGGAAGACTTGGAGAATATTTCTGAATGTTTCAGAGAAGTCAACCTTAAGATTAAACATATCAAAATGACAATTATTCAGTGATTGTGTAAAATATTCAGGATATATTGTTTCTTTAAAAGACGATCCAGCAAAGATTTACAATTCTGAAAGACTGGCCATTAACAATTAACATATATTAACTGGATTTTTCGAATTTGTCCAAGGATACACAGGTCAACCAATGAAAATGCGAAAGATTAAACATTCAAAACTTACACATTATGAACAGGCATTTTAATTGTTTGCAGACTAATTGTGTTTACCTTCAGTTTTAGAGGATAAAACAAAACCTTTTGAAATGTACACTGATACAAGTATTATGGAATTGGGAGCTGCTCTATGCCAGAACTATGAAAGTGATAAAGTCAAGGAATTTGTATCTTGCTGCAAAGCGAAAAATAACCTACACATGAATATATAGTATCTATTGTTAAAATGAACCATGAATTAGAAAGATTCATGATTATTGCCAAGGTCATAAAGTTACGGTTCTCTAGATGCCTAATTAGATTTTGCAAGATCTGAAAGAAACAATGTCGTCACAGACGCGACGACTGAAAAGTGTAACAACACCAATTAGAGATAAGTAATTTGAACCGGTTTGACAGGATCATAAATAAGGTTATTAATAAGTGTACCCCTCCCACACGCAAGACCTACAGCCAAACAAATATTAATTATGGTCACAAGTTTAAACCCTATATTGCATGATTATACGTTTGTGCCTGTAATTTGTATTCATACATCTACCTGGGTATTGCATAAATCAAACTAGTATAAGACGTAAAAAATGCAGACGTTTGTAATTTTATCAAACTTTATTTTTATATAAGTAATATTCACATGGCTCTATGAAGGCAACTTTGTTTTTAAAAAAATCTATGTATCTATTTGGTTGAAAAATATAATAGCATAGCTGTTCAAAACATAAAATATGTTGGAGCATTTAGCCGTCAATGTTGTTATTACCA